GTAATCCTTCTTTTACAGCATATAAGAAAGTTCTTGCACCTACAAATACATGTTTGTTGTATTAGACTTTTGACTTTCTACTTGATTAATTATATTCTTAGTTATATTTCAAAAAATTAAGACTACAAGAAATTCAATCTATTTCAGGATTATATTTTTTTAACCATGATAAATTTAAAATAATTAGATTAAAAGAAGATTTAATAATATTAAATATTACAAAGCTACTATGACTATTAGCTGTTACTTCTATAAGAAGGGTTTCATGAGTACCATCTCTTAAAGACAATGGATGACCATCTATAACTTCTACATGAAAAAATTTAGTTTTCTTCACCAAAGGTATGTTAAAATTTTTAGCAAATATTTCATCTAAGAAACATGTTTAGATTTTTGAATCTAATAAGGTAAAGACTTTGTGATGTTTAGGTCCTAAAATAAAATTTATTATAAAATAAGAAGAAGATTTTAAAGAAAAAATAGGACCTTTATTAAGTATTGTATAATGTTCTAGCTGCTTAGTCCTTATTGTGGCTAGACAAACTTATTTTTTGATATACTATCTTTTTTGATAGCCATACTCCTCATTTTGTGGTTGTATCACTTCTTTGGACAATGTTGAGTAGTGTACTTAGATTTTGTACAATACAAAGACAATTCTTCCTAATAATGATGAGTCTTTTCTCGCTCAGTAAGAAGTTTGAAAAGTACTACACAAATTTGTATATCCTCTACTTCTAAATATATGTATTGAGGAGACGTTGGTGTGGCCATTGAATTATAATAATGTTGAGGTATACTTAAGCAACTTTTATATTGAAATTCAAAAAGTCAATTATCACACTTCATAGCAAAGTCTATTGCTTGAATTAATGTTTGAAGATTCATTAAGTTGAACATCAATTTTTTTACTTCATATTATAATCCATAGAAAAGCTGGCAAACAAGTTTAGTATTATTCTACTTGATATTAATTGTAAGTTTTTAAAATTATGAAGCATATAACATTACTAATTAATTATCTTGATGCAAAATATGGATCTTATTGGTTACAATACAAATTGCATCATGTTTTTCATATATAGATTGAAACTCCACCAAAAAAAAAGTCTTTCGATTATTCAATATTAGATCTCATTGTCCAAAAAAAGATAAAAATTATAATAATATTGAACTTAAAAGAAGTATATCAATAAATCTAACTTGCAATTTTTGAGTTGTATAGCTTTAGAATTGAAATTCAATCATAAGTTATACTTGATTGATAAATCTTTGAAATTTGGATCTTATACTATCAAACTTCTTGAATAATGCAACCCTTGGTTTTTTTAACACTAAAAGGATGTTCTACCATAGGAAGAGGGACATGATTTGGTATAAATGTTGAAGCAACTTCAATCATTTTTATATCTTTGTTTCCTGCCATTTTTGTTTGTCCTTGTGGTGGTAAATTGAGTTGATGCATCACATGCCTTAATTCTCTCAATTGTTCTTGCATTTGTACTATTATACTCTTTATTTCAAGAAATTCTTTCATGATAATATTTTTACCTAATCATATAGGTAATTACTAAAATAAAAATGTTTTTTGAGACACTATGCCTATGACACTATGACACTCATTAAATCTCCAAATTTATGAACTCATTTTTAATTCTCAAAATCAAAACCTACCGAATACATTTCTTCCTTTGAAAAGCCCACAAAACCTCAATATACCTTCAAATTCCATGAAATAAACTCTTAAAAATCCTTTTACAAGTTTGTTCTCAAATCCCATTTTTTTATCAACCAAAAAATCCTAAAAATATTGTAGGTGTATGGTATTATTCTTTAGGATCTGATTTCAATCTTGGTTCACAACTAGTCTTCTTAGGATATCAATTCTTCATATTTTGAGATGATTTTTGCTAAAATCTATTCTTGAATCCTTCTTAAAATGATTATATCAATTATTTATTTCATTTACTTTGATTTCAATCACTTATACTCCTACAAAATAAATAGAAGTCTCATCTTGAAAAAAACCATATTAACATTTATTAATTTTTGTTTCTTTTTTATCTGTTATCTATATTTTTAAGATAATTTGTTAAAATATTTTCATTTAATCTCATCTATAATATAATCTTTTTTTTCTTCTTTAAATATATTATCATATGATAATGTATTTATAGATGATTGATAGATTAAAAAATTGGCTAATATATTAGCCATGTATCATGTATATTTACTATTTGTGGTATAAGTTGGACATATGGTGTATATATAAGAAACTTATCTTGCAAGTTAGATACATGTTTTGTAAGTTGATCATATGTTAGAGGTTTTATAGAATTTTTTCATATAGCTTTTAGTTAAATAATATATATACAAGCAAAAGTAAAGCATTCTTCATTGTTGTTAATTCTTTTTTGCTTCTAATCTAGTTTTAGGAGTTTCTAGATTCATGATTTTTGGTAATAGAAATTCAATTTTTCCTTAAATATAAACGTTTTTTATTATAATTTCATCATCTTTCTTTGAAAAAAAAACTGACTTATTTATATACATTCTTTGAGTGTTTATCCTTGACAACTACATCATATAATTTGCAACTAATGTAAGACACACAATTTGTATTAGATACTCTATTTTAAATTTTTTTCATTTCTATACAATCTATATTGTAATTGCAATAGTCACCCATGATTCCAAACCTCACATACTTGCAACAATTACCTGTGCCATATAATATGCAACATGTGTAGCATACACTACAAAATGCTAAAAAGAGAGCTTAAAAGAGCCATTGGCACAAAAGTGAAATATGGAGGATAAGTAAACTAGGATTTAAAGATAAGTAGTAATGTGGAGTTTTTGTTACAAAAATCCCACAATAATAAAGTAATTCATTATTTATAATTAAATATTTGAATTAAAATTACTTCATCTATATATTATTATCTTTAGGTAGTAAGGTATGAGGTGTAGATTATAAGCATATTTAGGTGCCATAATTATCAATTATCAAATATTAATTAATTTAATTTATATAATATTATATAAAATCATATATTCTTTATTTATAAAATAAATTAATTTCTTATTAAATTAAATACATATATATATATTAATTTATATATAATTTTATAATTAATAATTTATATTTTAGAAATTAATCAAATACAAAATCATCTTTTTAAACATTTTATACATAAATATATACACAATATAAGTGGAATTTATAAAATAATGATGTATCAATAAAATTACAAAGAAAACCACCCAATATCAATGAAGTTAGACCAATCCTAACAAATTTGATGAAATATTACATATTCCAAAAAAAAAAAAAAAAAAAAAAAAAAAAACTACTGATAAGTTATATTTTTTTATTAAGATGTTAAATCATACTATTATTATTTTTATTTTTCAAAAATATATAATATTCAATTAAATAATCAATATTAATTTTAATTAAAAAAGAAAGAAAAAATAAAGAAAATAGTTATTAGTATCTATTTCTTTAATTAACTTATATAGCAATCAAATATAAGGGATATAATTATTAATTATTTAAATGTGATAACACATTTAAATCTTTAGAAGAATATATTAACTTCATATGTGTTTTTTTATTTTCAATCAATAATATTTTTTTCTTATAGTTTAAGATTTTTTCTTTGTTTATGTATAAGATATTAAGTTATTAATGTTTATTCACTATATTGAAACAAAGTAGCATGCATGTTTTTTATGATTTTGATGCTTGAAATTTTAAATTTTTGATGTTCACATCAAAATAAAAACAAAAGAATAAAAAATTTACAAATAGTATTCAAAGCATTATAAACTCCTAATGATATTGCAATTTAAGTAAGGTTACTATCCAAATAAAAGCTAAATTAGTTTTATGTGTAGTAACTTTGTTTAACTTATTTATCAAAACATTTTTACTTTTGTTTTTGTTAAGACACATGTTACTAACTAGTACATTTCACTTTTCAAATTAAATTAGTATAAACTAATTTGGTTGTTTGTATTTTTATATGTATGTATATATGTTTATTTGTTTGTTTGTTTTTATTATTTTCTTATTTTAAATAACCAGTGTAAATAAATAAATAAAACTATTTAAGTAAACCAAGGTATTCATGGTTTGATAAATTCCGCACTATGGATGTAATGGAACATAATATGAAAAAAATCATAACATACGTTTTCTATATTATTATAAGAATTGTTCTGAAATTCATACAATAAACTCAAAATATGTTGTTTTTTATTGGATCTAATTCAACCCACATTAATAAATTTATAAATACCTTTAGTCAAAAAATCCACATGTATATATACACACTTATGACACTTTGCATTCATCTATCTATGTAAAAAAATTAACTAGTCTATGTTTAGTTAGAGTGTAAAAAAATCCCATCGGCTGGAGCAATAGGGTGATAAAACCAGTTACGAGTTTAACAATTACTACCAAATTATCCAATTATGGATTTAATCTAGTTATTGCCAAATTACCCAATTACTTGGATGAGAGGATGGAATGGATCGAGTTGATGGCCGTAGCAGTAGCGCTAATAAACCCAATATATTGCAATTAGGTGTTTTTTTAATTGCAGTTAGGGGCATTGTGTGATATGTTTTATTTTTATTTTATTTTATTTTATTGGCTGCCAAGAACATACTCGATGTTGGCAAAGCCAATGGTTTATCCACTAAGAATTTTGATAAAGGCAAAAAAGAAAAAAAGAAAAGAAAAAAGAAGAGTCTCACTTAACAGCCAATAAAAACACCCTCCACGTCAACCCTTATACAAGAAGGATCTACACGTGGAGTCCACGTAAACAGAGAAACAGAAGGACGTTGTTTTCAAGGCCACCTATTTCCGAGACGACCTTGAGGAGGAGGGGTGGGGTCTCATAACCGTCGTCTGGAGCCCCCCTTCCGCGGTGAAGGACCCCTTATCCACACCGTGAACCAGTAGAGGCGTTGGAAACAATGCGCTGCCTGCGACGCTGGCCAGTCGATGGCGCCGCTGGATAAGGCACAAATCGCCATAGCCATCGACCTCGAGCTCTCCCTCTCTCTTTGATTTTTGAATGATTCAGTTCTTCCTTCGAATCGCGCTTCGTTTCATTATATCACCATTCTTTTTTGAACACCGTATCCTTTTGTTGCCAGTGGTTTGTACACTTCGCAGCGTGAGCTATGGCGTCCTCCATCGCTTGCGGTTCGGCGCTTAAGATGGCCACCTTCGAGGGGTTATCAGCGAAGTCCCTTGGCCTGCGCGGCGTGGAGCCCGCGGGATCAGTGGATGTGTTGACCTGGGAGAGTGTCGGGAGGCGTGAGGGCAGGGGGAGCTCCATCGTGACGGCGGGGTTGAAGGACTTGCGTGACCGGATTGCGACTGTGAAGAACACGCAGAAGATCACTGATGCGATGAAGCTTGTGGCGGCTGCCAAGGTTCGTCGTGCACAGGAGGCTGTCGTGAACGGCCGCCCGTTTTCGGAGAATCTGGTGAAGGTTTTGTTCAATGTCAACGAGCAGCTGACTACTGAGGATATCGACATCCCCTTGACCACCGTAAGTGCCTGCCCTTATTTTGCTTTCTATGCCGGCTGCTGACCTATAAGGATTGTGAATTTGGGATTGCGTTTTCAACTGCCAGTAGTGGTTACGACGAGTGAGCTTTTGCATGTATTTAGTGGGACTGGAATGATGAGTTCTTCCCTTGGATGATTTAGGTGAGGCCTGTGAAGAAGATCGCTATTGTCGTAATCACCGGGGACAGAGGACTGTGCGGAGGTTTCAATAACTATATCTTAAAGAAAGCTGAGCAAAGAATGGCAGAGCTTCGTGAAATCGGAGTCTCCTACACTGTTGTGAGTATTGGAAAGAAAGGAAACAGCTATTTCAGAAGGCGGCCTCAGATTCCTGTGGATAGGTTTTTGGACGCTGGAAATGCCCCGACCACTAAGGAAGCGCAGGCTGTGGCCGATGAGCTTTTCGCTCTTTTCGTGTCCGAGGAGGTGGACAAGGTGGAGCTCTTGTACACTCGGTTTGTTTCTCTCATCAAGTCCGACCCCATTATCCACACCTTGTTGCCCCTCTCTCCCCAGGGTGAGGTCTGCGACATCAGCGGTAACTGCGTGGATGCAGCTGATGATGAAATGTTCAGGTTAACCACCAAGGATGGTAAATTCTCTGTGGAAAGGGAGACTGTGAGGACAGAAACAGTTAAGTTCTCCGGTGTGCTTATGTTCGAGCAGGAGCCTGTTCAGATTTTGGATGCCTTGCTGCCACTATATCTCAACTCCCAGATCCTCAGGGCCCTGCAGGAGTCCATCGCCAGCGAGCTTGCAGCTCGTATGAATGCCATGAACAACGCATCCGACAATGCCGCTGACTTGAAGAAATCCCTCTCCATCTCCTACAACAGGCAGCGTCAAGCGAAGATCACGGGAGAAATTCTCGAGATTGTTGCTGGTTCCACGGTTACAGTTTAAACCAGTCGTCTATTTTGACTGCCTTGATGTCTCTGTGTGATTTTTCAGAGGTTGTAGCGTTATAGTTCTGTTTACTAGGTGGAGAAGAGAATTCAGTGATAACTGGCCCTTTATGTAGATCGACCGTTGCTTATTAGAAGCTACGGTGTTTTTCTAACTTCGGCAATTAATCCTAGAGCACTGCAGATTCATCAAGGTTGAGCCGCTTTGTAGTCTTCAATTCTTACGAGCATTTCCTCCCCTCCGTACTGATTTTATGCCCTAACTTAGAGATCTTGTTGGATCTCTGGGCTGAGGCATCTGCCCGTGTTCTCTCTGGTTGAAATACCCAGATTGATTAATACCAAATCCGTCGAAAATACCCTATTGGAAATTCTGAATATTACGTGTGTAGGAGCGGGTGGGTTGTGCAAAGCAAGTTTCATTGTATGTCTTTGTGGCCTTGAAATACAACATGACTCTCACCAAGCTTGTGTGCCCATGACCCTCGTAGAATTGTGAACAATGTGTTTTGTGTTTTAATTTGCAAGGGTCTCTAAAGCAGGATGGATTGTTGCTTTTGTCGTGTTTCGAAACTGACATAGCATTGTGGAACGGTGAGAAGCATTCAATGGAGAGTATTTCAACTATATGGCAATCTCATGTTGGATTGTAGACCTATGCATGTGAGCATCCTTGCGTCAAGCACAGGTTCCCAGAACCTATCTCATGTGCATTTTAACATCAGAAAAATCTGGTTAAAATTCATCTTAGATGTAGAAGTGTCTTCCAAGATTGACAACAACCGACAAGGTTGCAATCCTTCAAGAGCAATCTTTTTGTACTAGCATTATCAAATACAAAATTTTAATCTAAAATACAGTAGCATTGTGTTGTGTGGATTGTTAATATTCACCGTTGACTTTGAAACCCAGCTGGTGGGATTACAATTTCAAAGTTAGATTCAGATTTTCAACTTTTGATTTACTTTTTGTTTGTAAATTGCCATTCAGTGATATTTTAGGTGCATCATAGAAATTCTATTCTTGAAATGCACCACCTCTTTTAAATACAATAAGAATAAGAAGAGTTATTTATAATATGTTCTATATATTTTGCTATATTTTATTACATTTTTATAACTTGCTCTAATTATTACATGTGCATTTTTTATTTGGAAGGAACTAAAGCATTACAACCACAAAATTTATGCTATTGTTCTTTAATTTGGTCTTTCTTACTAAGCGCACATGATAAAGGTTTACCAAGTAATGATTATTTATAATTATCATTGATTTTGTACAAATGTAGCTATGGCAATCTATCAAAAAAAAAAAAAAAAAATCTCTATTTAGCTTTAAGAATCACATAAATCTTATTTGTAATTCATAAACTCTTTCTGTAAACTACTTAAGATCCCTCTTTTTCTTCTTAATCTTAGCTATATTAATTTCAATAAGTTGGAAAAAAAAAAAAAAAAAAAAAAAAAAACTTTGCAAATAAGTTGTCAATATTTATGTGACTTAGGTATGGAATAATTTTGGTCCTTTTGTGCAAGATATGTAAAGGAAAAAAGTATAAATTTTATATTCTTTTTAAAACTTGATCTCATTCGTATTTATTCATATAATTTAATAATGTAATAATAATAAAAATTTGTTGACATGAAGCACCTTGCAATCCATATGTCTAAGAATTTGAAATAGACAACTTGCATTGTTTACAAACTCTTTGCTTTACAAAATAGAACAAACTTCTATGTAATAAATATGTTTAAATACTTTAGAATCTATTTTCAAAATAACATCATTGATTGAATTTAACACATAAATTCTCATTTAACATGAAAAATAAATGAAGTTTATTTGTAAAATTAAAAAAATATTTTCATTATAAACAATTGTTACATAGAAATCTTAATAATTGAAATAGAAGAAGATGAAACCTTTGAATCTACATAGAGAGAATTTTTATAATGATTATAAAAAAAAATTAAAAAAGAGCAAATTAAACATTCTAAATAGAAAAAATTAATAAATCTAAAATGATTGTGATAATAGAACAAGAATATTTGAAAGTACAAAATGATAGACATAATAAGAATAAGTAACAATTGGTAAAGAAAATTAACTTAATCTTTGAAACGATTCAATAATATAATTTCAACTTTAAACTATAATCTTATTATAAAATTAAAATAATTAATTAATAAATACCAATTCAAATAAAATTTAAAATATGTTATATTAATTAAAATATTAAACATTTATTTTATGACATCTAAAACTTTAATTAAAAAATTCTTGGATAGTAATGACAATCAAATTGTAGATTTTTTAGAATATACTTAAACAAACATTAAAATTTGGGTTTTTATCTTTTGAAACAAAATATAATAAATATGTTCTTAAAGACTATAGTTTATATTGTTTTTGTAAACTTGGAGCTTTGATACCAAATCAATTCACTCTTCTTAGAAGATGAATTCAAATTGAATTATGTGCAATTGTAAATTTATTATAGAAAAGTTATATATGAAGCAAAATTAGAAAACAATAAGATTTTTTTTTAATACAATAAAAGGTATATTCGATGTATTAATAGAGCAAAAAAAGTACAACTGACTATTTAATTCTCTATACCTAGAGGCAAAGCTAAGAGTACTAAGAATAAGAAACAATCACTAAAGCAAGCTCAATTACACATTTGTGTATGATCACATTACTTTGAGGTATTCTTAACTTCTTTTTAATTATTTTGTTGTTTATAGAACTAAGTATGTGTTTAGTTGTCTAGAAGTTAATCCATCTTTTATGTAAGAAAGACTCATTTTGCAAGTATTTTACTAATTTATATTTTTTTAAAATCCATCAAATTTTCCTATATTTGATAAGACTCTTTTTAGCTAAGTTTTTGATATGAGATATACTACATACTCCATTTTCTAAGACAAACTTATTTTTATTAAATCCAAATAGTCTACAAGCACAATCTTATTAACAAGAATCAAATTTTATGAAAATCTTTTAATTTGAAGAGTAGAATATTTGCAAAAGTAGCTTGTTGCCAAGTTAAGGATTTCTAAGGATGCCAATTCCTAGAATAGGATGTTAATCTATATACAAGAAAAGTGGCCTAATTCTAAATGCAACAAGCTTAATGACAATCATAAAACCAATGAAAAATAGATTTATGCATTTGGAGTTGATATCAATATGAAGGCTGATTTTTCTCATCCAAGTATTAACCATTACACCTTTGTACGATGTAAGCCAAATGAATAATTGCAAAAAAATAAATATTTTTAAAATTTTATTTATCTTCAAAAGTTTTGATTGTTAATTATTTTTTCTATAAATAAAATATTTAATAATCTTTTTCTAGTGAAATTTTTATGTGGTAAAATTCTAAAAAAAATAAAAGAAATAAAATATTCAAATTTTACATCCAATCAAACAAAAAAAATATTAATTAATAATTAACAAAGATAATTAGAGATATGATTGAGAATTCTAAATACAAAATTTGAAACAAAAATATTTTTTATTTTTTTATAATAGAAATTTATAATGAATTTTTAAAAATTCCATATTTAAACATCAATATGTATATATATATATATATATATATATATATATATAGCATTTACAATTTTATCAAAAAATGACAATAAATTGTAAATGATCAAAAACTACCAAATCTTTTCTTTTAAATCAAAGAATACATGATTTTTTAAACTTTGTTGTAATATTGCATAAGTTTAATTTTATTTTATCATCTAATTAATTAATTAATCAATTAAAAAACTCTAAAAATTATTTTTTTACAAAAAAATATAATTATTATTTAAATACGTAGTGTTTTGAATACAATATTCTTAACTATTATATATATATATATATATATAGATATATATATTATGTGCTAAGATATTATGTGCTAAGTTTTATATTTAAAAAACTTAATCAATTGTTTTACATATTCTTACAAATTGCACAATTCAAAGTGTACACAGAATTATTAATTTACAAGTAAATTTTATTGCAAGTCAATTATGTTGAAAAGATAAAAAGTAGAAGATAATATATATATATATATATATATATATATATATATAATGAAAATAGAGAATATTTCTAATGAAACTAAAAAATATACTGACAAAAAATATGTTATAACTATGAAAGAAAAACGACATATATATATATATATATATATATATATATATATATATATAAAAATGTATACATATGCATAAACAATTACTAAAAAACTTTAAATTAACACATCTGTCATTGATGCATTAAAAAACTTATAATTCTAATGATATTGCTACAATAAATTTATAGTAAATACATCAAATGAATACAAGACTTACCATATTTATTTGAATATATGTTTTTATAGCCAATAGTTGCTAATATTCACATAAAGAATTTCTATACATTTTTTTGGATCAAGTCATACAATAATTGGAAATTATATTTTGAATTTATAATATCATGTTTTGATAGACCTATTGCAGGTATATAATATTGAATTTAGTTCTACTTATAACTATATGAAATCTTACTTTATTTAAAAGTACAAAATTAATAAATAGAATAGTTCACTTGATATTTAAAGATACCAGTGTAGAAATAAAGTTGTCAAAAGATATCAAAGAATAGATGCAGTATCCTGAAGATGTATCAAAAATTAAAATAGGAAGAAATTAAGAATATAAATTTATTTATTACCTTTATTTAATGTATTTCAATTCATCTTGGAACTCATTGAATGAATTGAAATCAAATTTATGTAATGATTTTGGTTGCTATATAATTTATAACTTTATGACTTGAGAAAGTATTTCTTCTTTTCATTGTTTGACTTTTAAATTATATTTTAAAAATTGCAACAAAATTCCACACAGTTTTCCTCCCACACCTTTGTACAAAAAAAATTAGAATGAACACAACAAAAAAACTGATTGCTGAGCATATGGAATAAGTATATTAAAAATCTATAAAATTTGCAGAGATTTTCTCTTTAAAATCAATATAAAAGAATTAAATTGATGAAAAAAATTAATCTTATTCTCAAAATTATAGAAAGCTATATTTGTTTTAAAAAGTCATGCACAAAATAAGAAAAGATGCGTTTTAAACACAATTGCAAAGAAGACTCAAAAGAATAAGAATTTCTTTTAATGTGGGACACATAATACATCAATTATCACAAGGTCTGTTGAATATGAAAGGAAATTGTTATTTTGTCATGTGTATTAGAAAGCTGTACTTAGGTATTTCACAAAAGACTTCTCTCATACTTTAGAGTAAAAAATTGACACAACACCATATTGTAAAATAATTTATTAATAGAAAATTTTAAGATATAAACATGATTTTACTTTTATTGTTATTTTTTTATGCTTCGTTTTGTTTTATTTTGTTTTGTACCTTTTCTTCTTATCTTCTTCTTTTTTTTCCCTTTTTTTTTTTTTTTTTTTTTTTTTTTTTTGCAGAATCACTGTATTCAAGTAGAAGACAACAAGATATTACTTGATCTTTTATTTTTTTCTTGAATTTTTGAAAACCTAATAAAGTATAAAATTTAAATGTATTTTTGTTTAAATCAAAAAACTTTAAAAAAAAAAAAAAAAGAAAAAAAAAGAAAAAGCAAATGATCTTGAAGAAATATACTGTTTTATCTTTTACTTTTTAAAATCAAAATTATAGTTTTAGAAAAAAATTATGTTGTTGATTTTTTTTCATATTTTTTGTAAATATGTACTGAAAATGGTTCAAGAAAAAAATAAATCTTTTAAATGAATTAGAATCTTCTCCAAGTCAAAAATATTGGTTCAACTTTAGAAGCTTGTGTCAAAGCCACTTTTTTTAGACTACAAGTTAAGGAATCATCCATATATATATATATATATATATATATATATTCATATATATTTCATGGTCAATCAATTATGATGATACAATTTAATTTTCTTAATGATACCAACAAGTAGGCTCTTTACATATTTCTTAGAAAAGTACATATTTATTTTGATTCACATATAATTATAACAGAAGAATCCATATGTAGTAAAATAATTCTTATTACATTGTTAAATTTATTACTTCATGTTAAAGTCCTTACAATGGTTTTTAATTAGTTGTTGTAAGACTTCAAAGTGTGTTTTTGTAACAAGACCACTAATATGAAACTATAAAGAATAATTGATTTTCCAAAATAAAATTACTGTTATTGTTGTTGTTAGAAAGTTATTTTAAATTCCATGAACAATAGTTTCAAATAAAAGTTCAATTTTCAAAGACTACTAATCAATTATAAAGCCAATTATTATAAAATACAATTATAGACCCTTTGACCTTAATTTTAACATGTACCTAATTGTATGTAATCATATTTTAATGTATAGCTACAAGATGTATTAAAATTGCCTACCAAACAATTGATAAAAATAAAACATTATGATTAACTAGATTTATTTGCAAATCCTTTTAAAGTAAGAAAATTTATAAGTATATGTTAGAAGAGATAAGTATATCATTACATGCTTGTATGTCTATACATAGATATATACCTAAATATTTTCATACTATATATATACATATGATGTTCTTAAAGAACATTCTTGTAAAACTTTTGCATTTTGTCAGTACTATGTGTAGGCTTAATGGCACACATTATCACTCACTTATTCACTCATATATATATATATATGAACCACTTGCATGGACTTGTGCGCAGATCCAACGTAGTGATTGTGAACACCGTGTAAGAGCTGGAGGAGACCCATGAGGGCATTCGGAACAGAATTGTGATTATTAAGACACAAAAAAATCTCGTTTTCATAACTCGTAGTCTTCGTCATTCCGATGTAAGAACATGAACTAAGTTAACAGAATTGTAGAGGATTTCTGAAGAGGCATACAGTTAGGAGGCTTAGAGTAATTGACTCTAAATGAAGTTGTAAATGACTCTTGGCCCTTATCTGAACATGTCATCTGCTAAGAGCAATAAATTAAGGTAATCATGTGCACAGGAGCCTCATGGTGATTACAAAATGTGCAGATATTTGAATGTCTTGGAAAAATCTTCTACAGTAGGAGTAACGTCGGTGAGGAGTCTGATCACAAAAGAGGGCAGAGCAGTAGATGCACTCTCTAGTGTAACCATTCAAATGCGAAAGCCAGTCGGATTAACATCAGAGGAGGTAGGCAACCTGCCCCATTATGAACAGATGCCGCTTGACAATGCAGGGCAATTAATACGGGTGGACAGTGGCTAACAGTGCAGACTCTCAGAGAAAGAAGCAAATATCAACAAATGGTAACCGCGCCGTAAAATTTCTCATGGAGGAGAATTACAGAAAGTTACTTTTTTGGTCCTGTTTTGACACAGAACTGATTGCACCATGAGCCAACGCTAGTTGGCCTGTTGAAGCCATGAAATTCATACGCCTCATGTTTCTCTTCGGAGGATGCAGTTGTGAAGGGACCTGAAGTGGAGCACGTAGAAGCTGAATTGCAAGAGTGCAAATTATCAATCTCTTGCATCCCATCCAGTGGTCTCAGAGAGTTTACCCCAGCGCTTATTACTCTTCTTTCCCATGATTAAGCTTTCCTTGAGCTTCTTGGTTGGACCCAATTCACCAGGCGTTAGAGAAGTATCTCCCGACACCATATTGCGTGTGGTAATTGCTTTTGTTGGTATTGGTTCTAGAGAGTCGAGAATCTGGCAGTCGAATGGCGAAGGAAACATGACGCAATTATCATCGGGAGAGAGCGAAAGCCTGTCTCTTAGTTCTGGCCATTCTTTCCTTACGTGTTTGAGAATGTTGGCCTCGACTCTGGATCCAGAGCTTCCTGCCATCACCAGCAACCAGGTTACGGTTAGAAGGGCGAAATAAAATGAAATACCCTTAAAGTCGAACGGTAAGATTTTGCAACCTGCAACAGGCTCAAACGGAGTTGACAGAGCAAACACATTGAACTTACCTTCGGTGCTATCTCTTCCAGAGCTCCTGGATCCTCGGGAACCCAAACTTCTGGACCCTAGGCTAGTTCGAGGTTTAAATTTCTCTTGACTGCCATCCTCCCAGACGGAAACTTTCTCACTCGGGTTAACGACAGAGGTATCCAAACTGCTACTCTTTAGACTTTGTATTAACCCTTGTAAATCATGCCCACAATTTTCATCGCCACTTTCACCTGTAGATGCATCGTAGCCATCATTGTGTGCCCTATGCAACAACTTCTCAATTGAAGATTTCTTTTTGGCAATAGGTGCTGGCCTCTCAACATCAAGAGCTGGTTTACGAATTGTACGTAGGTCAGGCGATCCCTGAAAGATTTCGGGAGACGTCAATTGGCTCCCGGGATAAGAACTCCCGGGATACGAGCTACCAGGATAGAAGACTCTCATCTCTCCAGAAAACCTACTTGGACTGCACCGGAAACCATTCCTCGCATCTAATGCACGAGGGAGTACCAAGGATTGAGGGCTGCCATTAGATACGTAACTCGCTGTTAAAATTCCTGGTCTACTATGAGTAAGGACGTTCTTGCCAAGCCGATCTTTCATCGACAACCATCTCTCTTTCCCCGTGAGATAAGCCAAATCATGGTGCTTTCGGCGGTTGCGTCTGTTTCCAGCGAGAGTGATCTCGCCGCTCACATTATGAGAACTCTCAAGACTGCTGTCTTCAGCCTCTATGACTTGAGAGGGGTCTTTGGAGTGTATAATTGACCGTAAGATGGTGGAGTTTTCCCTCGCTTGAGTGGCTGCCTTGGTAGCTTCCTCGGCATTCATACGTGCCAGTTTCCAAGGGTTGATCCCCACTGAAACCTTTCTATAAGTCTGCGGAGCTGCTGCACCGATTCCCTTCACAGAAACTTTTGCACCAGAAGACTCCAAGTCCCCACTGAAGGCCATAACCTTCTATTTCAAAAGACAAATAAGAGTGTCATTTACGCAGGAAGATCAGGGTGGAGTAAATTGCTTTGGTATTAAAGATCATCAGCAAAATCACCTCTAAACTGACAATTTTCGCAATTCACTAAAACGGTGCGTAAGTAAACGTACCTGCTGATGTTCAACAAACATGCGAGGTGGTGTACAAAAGACACCCTTGTGCAGAGCCAGAGCCCCAGCTGAGCTGTAACCACTAATCCCTGTTGCATTGGAACTTGCGGGTGATGAGGTCAAGCTGTTGAATCCATCACCTTCTGTAATCTCTTGTTCTATTCCTTGTTCTCTTACTGCCAGGATGTAATCATACGTCGTAATTCCCTGTTCAAATTTCCAAAAAAGGTTTTCAAGTAGTGATCAATTTTTTGACGGATAGCAGAATTGAGAAAAATAACTATCTCAATGTTATCCAAAGCACAAAGAGGAAAGCAGTTTTAGCTCTCACCTTGTGTATCAGAATGAGGTGGAAAAAGAATAATTGGCCCAAGGGGACCGTTCCTAACATGGCCAACAGAGACAGCAACACCTGATGATCCAAATCACACTGTTGAGTTCCTCAAGACTTACATACTGTAATACAATAATTATGTATCCAGGATTTGGCATGTCTTGGATGATTCGCGTTCTTGAACTGGCGATTTGTAGAATTCAGGAACCAGTTTAGACGAGAGTGGTGAACTATTTCACATCTGAAGATATTCTGGATGTAACTAATCGATGGATGTAATAACCTCACACTACAACAATGAAGAAAATTGCTTCAAATATATCGAAACGCTGTCCTAGTTCCACACGATTGGCCCTAATACTGAAGGGGAAGACAAACAAAGTTTAGACTGACAATACAAAGGAGTTGAAACGCATACCACAACGATGATGTAAGGTACTCGAGAGAAGCTACTGCCGAGACTGTGAATTATCTCCTTTTCAAAGATTGCCTTCTGTGAAAAGCAGCGGACAAGGACACCGATTCCAGTGGTCCAGACGATTACTAGCTGCAAGGTTAAAATATTGAATCAGTGTTACGAGAGTTCATGTCCCAGGAAAACATCACTAGATATGCATAGGCCATATTTAACCTTCGAATGTGATTTGGATGAATTCCTATTCATTTTATTAACAGGCACACAAACACCTTTTGAATAAATTTCACACATACAGCACTTTAAGAGAGCCTGGTATCTATCAGCAGTGACTAAAATGTAAAACGTTGTACAACCAAGCTGTAGATGAAAAGAATCAGTTCATTCACCAGCAATAGACAAGCCACCATGAGGCTGACGAAGGTCCTGTAATTCCTCCGTCCTACGCAGTTGTTGAGCCACTGTGACGAAGGGAAAGTTCCATTAGATACTCAACCTTCATGAACTAGGTATCAATCATGCAATACAACTAAAATGAAGCATGAAGATAAAGTTGAAGAAATGAGGTGAGCATCAGGAGTACATATTTGGAAGTGGTTGTCGAAATACCCGACAATGATGATCGAATTCATACACGCACTTGTCACAAGCTCTGCAGTGCTTGCTATTCTTTGATATCTGTTATACCAGTAATGGTCATGAATTTGAGAATACTTGGTATTGTGACTGAAGATCAATGAGCACAGTAATGCCGGTGATTGTGAAGTGAATCACCAACCAATTACTTCGAATAGTTGTAAATTTGTAAATTTTAGTGTGCACAGAATAAGTCAATATGAAACTCTCGATCACGTAGTACAGTAATCTACAAAATGTAACTTCAGGCTCTTGAAGTCTTAGAAAACTGTAAGACAATAGAAATTGCAGTACGAAGTGAACAAATGGGCCTCACCTCAGCTTCACATATGCTGCAATACAATAATTGCTCTCCAATAGCTAGCGTTTCTGAATCATCTCTTTTAAAGCAGGCAAACGGAAAATACAGACAAGGTGCACCGGCGCTTGGACTCGGTTCTTCATTTTTCGAAGCTTTAACGGATGACGGATTTCTATCAGAGTCTTCATTTGGATGTTCGAAGCAAGTGTCAATATTAGAGAGTGATAATTCCTTAGCCTTCAGCGCTGCCCGCTGATTAGCCCTCGCAGCGTGTTTGGACTTGTGCACCCCTGGGTCAGCTGGATCACAACCAGCGCATCTCACATATAGAATAAAGACTGCTAGAACCTGCAATAAATCGAAAATGACAACCGGTGTGAAGTATTCAATCATCATCAAATGAGTTTGTACATTTGTGATGCGCAGATGCAAACTGATTGACTGAACTGGATGGCGCCAACCGTGCTTCCTGTGAAGTATAAGCCATTACGATTCATTGATTCGTCACATGAATTCAGGGAATAACTTAAAGCCAAAGAAAATTCAAAGAAGCAAAGATCACTTACCACAGGGGAGAAGGCTGCGTAGATGTGAAATTTCAGGACACTACTTCCAACGAAAGGTATGAAAAAGACGTAGAAGGAGAAGGAGAGTCCCGAAAACACTGCAACTGCCACAGTCTGTTTGATGCATAAGACAGTCGACTAGAAGTGTTAGCAGTAGAGAACTAAAAATGCACTCTAAAATGAAAGAGGGCATAGTCTTCTCACAACTTTTATATCATAATTCAGGAGATCAGATAGAGAGGTTCTTACACAAGGATAACGAGAATATGACCAATGAGAAAGAACGTATTCCCAAGTCTTCTCAGACTGTGACTCACGTTATCTTATAGTAGACCCATTGAGCATTTCTCATGGACAGTTGAATGGAGCATTCCAATAATAATAGTAATAATAATAATATTTTAAAAAATAATAATATTAATAAATGGTCCTGGATATTCAGAGATTCTAGTTATGGATTCCGTTTAGCGCTAAAAAGCATTGAAGAGATGTCCTGGTCAGACAATCCTCTCGCAGGTTGCAAGATAACAAGCATATAGGACGACCTGAGCTTAGAATACGAAAGTCATTGCTCAATGGAATGATTTAGGATCAGCAGCGCACCAAAATTTTGCACAAAGACTGTAATCGTAAATTCCTGAATGTCTTTAAACAAGAAGCTCTCACTCTCCATGTTGAAATTTGTCCAGAAACTACTATTTCTACATTTCCTTTCCAGGAAGAAAACATGGGAGTAACGGTATAAAGATAATCGCTGCACACGGTACACAATAGCTAATTGAATGCCACAAGCCGGAAGTGTTTGCTGCGAACTCCATCACCTCACACTTACTGTACCGACTAAAGTTATGGCATTGGTTCAGCACTTGCATTGGAGTACTCCTATGACATTCTTCTTTTTTTAATCACAACAACACACTTGGATGAATCAAATACACAGTAAACCCTCATGGTTCAATACTCACCATTGCCTATCCATAGATGTTTTGATGAAAGACCGACAAGAATAGAAGACCGACCTGGAGAGGATGATACGGCAGCTCCCATCCGTGGTTTCGCATTGTGTTAGCAACCTTAGCAGCAGCAGCTGCTGCCTCTTCAATACGCAATGTAAGTAGATTCCAGACGCGAAGGTATCATCAGGCTGCAAAAACGACCCTGCACCTGTCGGGAGCTACGAGCATGTCGACCCCCATTGCAGCAAAGCTCGTTCTAAACCGAACATAAGGAGTCTAGTCCTTGTTCCTCAAAAGCGATTCACAGGTCGAAACGAGAATACTCGTCGTTTAAGTCGGTCCAAGGGAATGCGTGCACCTGAAGACACCACCAAAGAGTGCAAGAACTCAGGCTATGGCGTCGTTCCACAGTTGAGCACCATGCCTTGTCGACTTGACGATTTTCACCTCGGAGGAACATTGAATAACAGCCACTGAGTTCGGGAACCACTACTCTCGTGCGATGACAATCACAGTAGCCGAAAGAATGCTAAAATGACCCGAAGCTATATAAAAAATAAAAAAATAAAAAAATAAAAAAACTCGAATTTCTTTCTCAACATAACAGCCAAAACAACAAAATAAATAAAAAACGAATAAAAAATTACACTGGAGGATGACCAGCAGGGCATAAGCTACAAAAACAACAAACGACGCAACGATCTCGCTAAAAAACTGCTCTCGACTCCAAACTCCCCACCTGCAAATGCCAATTCAACAAAGATCTCTGCATGATAAAAATAAGAAGGAGAAGAAGAAGAAGAAGAAGAAGAAAAGAAATAAAAAAAACACCACCACAGGACTATACTCCTCACACTCTCTCTCTCCACGCAAAAAGAACAGCTACGCTACGCAGTACAGCCCAGCTTTCCGCAACAATAGCTGCACGTCTTTCATATGATGGGGGGTCGCAAACATCATTTGCGCTCTCGCTTTGAACGACTGCAGCACCGTGTCAGAGCGTGACATCATTCGCATGGAGTCATCGTCGCCTCGGAAGAAGATCCATTTAAGAAACGCCGGCCTCACCCTCCTCGCAAGATGTCAACCCAAGTGCACAGTGTGCTCTCACTCCTCTTTCACTCTCTCTCGCTCCCTCTCGCTCTCTCGCTTACTGCAGCGCTTGGGCTAACACTGCAGCATAAGACGAGCAGTGACGAGAAGGAAGGTGACGACTGATCCGGCACCGTGATACCCTACCCCGAGCCACATGGACCCACACCCCCGCGTGTCAGGCTTTGTTTGTAACCCAGTTGGGTCGCCGCAGGATAACTAACAAAAAACAAAAAAAAAAACAAAAGAAAAACAAAACCCTGTAACCGCGTCACACACACTCTCTTATTCTTCTTCAGGATTTCAACTCGCGAACCTCGCCACACAGCGAGAATTTCTCGCAACACCCTCTTTTCTCGTCTGTTTCTCGCCCAATGGGGCAGCTCCCTGCATTCATGTGATAAAACTCTCATCTTTGATACCACCCATTTCGTAAAACTGCGGGAATTTCTGATTCTTAAACTTGTAATTTCATTCATATATATATCACATTGCTTGGTTTGAAGCATTTCTTCGACAGACGACGGTATTAGACAAGTGATTGAAACCACGAAGTCGCTTGAACCAGATTTGGAAATAGTTCAGTTTTAGAGTTTATTTTATTTTATTTTTTTCCTACATATGTATTAATTCCTACATATGACAATTGACTCGTTTATAAACAAACAAAAATATATATATATATATATATATATATATATATATTTACATCTGTATTTTAATAAATCAACAGAGAGATACATATAGTTCGTATTAAAAACCACAAGAACAGCAAACTCACAATGTAGTTAGCAACAATGAAAAATACATTCACCTCTCTGATAACAAGCACAATGTCCAAATCATTGAATTGTGTACAATTTGTTTTTCTCGATTCCCACAAATCATATTATTATTATTACTGTATCTCGCTTTTAAATGAAAAAAGATATGAAATACTACGTCTTGAAGAAGCTGGGCTTTTGGCAAGTATGCATTCATGGCACCACATGCACTTGGCGTTTCTTTTTCTTTCTTCCTTCCTCTCTTTTTCTGTTTTATTTATTTACTTATTTTATTATTTTTTTTCCCTTATGGATTGATTATCCTGACAATGGTTATAAAAAGCAACCTCAGTTGTGGAGGTTACTCTGTCATGTCAGGAAGGTGGAGAGGGTTTTTTTTTTTTTTTTTTTTTTCTTTTTTCCTTTCCTTTCCTTTCATTTGGGTGGGGGCACAAAGCTTGAGGTTTCATCAATTCATCCAAAATCCACACTATATTATTTTCATTTCTATTTTTCCTTGAATATACAAATAAACCATGGCGATTATGTTGGGAAAAAAAAGTTACGGACGAGATACACTTTTACAATTTTATTTTGTAAAACAATCATTATGATGAGTATTATTGTTATTAATATTTGATTCGGTAAACAATGGAAATTTGATGTTGAGAGAGTAAATGTGTTGCAAGTCTTGATTGATTGAAAAATTCAAAGAAACAAAAACAAAAAAAAAATACACTTAAAGGCCACATTCAAATCCATTGATTAAATCCACTCACATGACGCCACCTAGGATTCTGTCTCAAAATTCAAACTGGGATTTTCTACTGTACCTGAGCTCTTCTTTCTGGATACAGTATCAAAATATTTATATAATAATGTAAATGTATAGAAAGAGAAATCAGTACAGTATTCATTTGCAATAAATGGAAATAAATGGAAATAAATAAATAAATGATAAGTGAGTATTCAATCACCTCTTATTCAACCTCAAGTGAAGTCCAATCCAAAACTAGTTTTAAGAAATAGAAATAGAAGAGAATTAGAAACTGGTTTTGATCGCAAAGTCCTTAAATGGCAATCAAATACATTTTGATAATTTGTTAGTTTTGTGAATAATAAAAATTATGGAATGTTTAACAGACCCAAGTTTTTTACTAAATTTACCCACCCATCCTAACCATTCATGAATGAAAGAATAATAATAATAATAATAATTTTGTTTTTTAAATCACCATCTAGCATGTTTGTATTGTGCATGAATTTTAAATAATACATTTTTTTAAAATAATGTATTTTAAATAAATAAATAAAGAGGAATAATAAATAGACCCAAGTTTTTATAAAATTGTTCTACCCATCATGAAAAAAACAAATCTCCTAATTCATTTCTCCACCATTGGATCTGCAACCACTAGAAATCAACCACATCCATTATGATTACAATATTCTTCATCAAGAGTGGATCAATTTCGTAAAAGCATGGATCTATTTAACATTCCCCTAAAAATAAAAAGATAGATAGATATGATATGCTACTTACTTACTACAGGATTGTATAATTACTAAACAATTGACTGATGTGGAAGATAAAAACCTCTACTCAAGCCATAGGTTTGTTGATTATTATTATCTGTTTGTTGGGGTTTGTAGCTACAAAGCACTAGATTAGAGTACACCAGCACTATACAACAATAGTGGGAGGAGGAGGAGTAGTAATTGTGATAGCTCATGTGGTAGAAGCTGCTCTATTCTGCCAACCATTTGCTTCACTAAATAGAAGCTGCAGAAAAGGAAGTGAAGTGAAAAAACATGGGGTCCTGGTCTTTCATTCCTTGATTTCTGTGTACAACCATGACCTCACTTCTCTTCAGTTTGACTTTGGATTTCAATGCTATGGGCATTGGATTTTCAACCCATTAAAAACACACACAAATAGCCCTGGCACAAAACCAATGGCACCTTCCTTGCACACCACCCCCAAAGGAGGAAAGAAACACAGCGCTCGTATCGTTTTGTGCAATTTATTTAGAAAACACTGTTGGGATTGGTTTCCTGCATCATGCAGACGCAATCCGTGGCTGTTAGCCACTGAAGCTCAATTGGGCTCTATCGCTGAGGCTCAAAAACAACAGACCCAACTGGAAACCAGCCTCGGAGATGGGGCTAATGAGGCTTAAACCCTAACCCTAATCTCAGTAACAAAAGAAGAACCGTGACGAGTTCAGTAGGAACTGCATTGGGAGCAGTGCATACCATTAAATAGCACGCTGTGGGAGATAATGGGTGTGAGGAGAAGGAAAGGGTCCTGACATATGTCCCTTTTAATAAAATCCCAAACCCTAAAAAAGAGAGCACCTGTAGGGCTTGCCAGCAAGGGACCCAGTTTCTTCTTCACTTTGCTGGTGGCCTACATATGGCCTACGTTGTCTGCAGAATTCAGACTGTCTCGGCACGATCATTGAATCCCGTGTGTGTGAGTGGGGGAGAGAGAGAGAGAGAGAGAGAGAGAGAGAGAGAAGGAGAGTCTGGAAGTATTTGATTGTCAATCCCTTCCGCACCTGCCATTAATCTACAGTGCTTGCACTTAAAATCCCCCATTACTCGGTGTACAACTTCTTTCCTTCATCCTCTGAGCTCGCAAATGCTCGAGCCTGCACGAAGTACTCGCCCCATTATTTCGCCTCTATCAATGTGAACTTACCACTGGAGTTTTGTGTTATCTCCGTCATGGAGCGCTGGGTACACCCGCATAAATGCCCAGAATAATATCGTGTTTGCAAAGATGGTGCCATTCATATGCAAATCATGGTCTGAACTCGACTTGCTACTGGATCTCAAGGCACAAATAGGGTGTCTCTTTCTTTTTGTTCACACAGACTTCGTGCCAATGTGCAGGGGGGAGTGTTGAAGGGATTTGCCGACATCGAGAAAATCCCTCCAGACTGAAGTTCGAGTCGAACTTGAGTATGATTGTTCACCTAAGTTTCTCTTCTTTTGTTTTGTATCAATGATGTGATAAGACCGGCCGCTGCATTAAACATGTTTTACTTTCACTCAATCCGCCCAGCTCGGATGTTAAACAGGTTAAGAAACTTCTGATTAGAGGTCGGATGGGCTCCATTTTTTAAAAAATAATTTCATTAGCCTTGTGGGTTGCCTACAACTGATAGTTTCACTAAGGCTTGTCGTAGGCAATCTGAGGGGCTTTGACTGCATTCTTAGCACACTTGGCAAAATCTTCGAGAACTACAAAAACCAGGTAGAAACAACAAACAAAAGCACACACAAGGATATGTGCGTTGTAAAATTTTAGAGGCCCTTTCAGTCAAACCGAATCGAGCCCTAATTGCTCATTCACGAAGCCGAACACCATATGGTTAAGCTCACAGAGACGCCTCTCACAGGATTCTAGTGACATGTACAATTAGCGCAGCTCGAAGTTTTTAACTTCTTTGAATTAATCCACAATCTGGAAGGGGAGGTGCTTGAACCATAAATCAAATGGAAGAGTCTTTATTCTATATTTTCAGTCAACAGCGCAGTACATTTTTCATCGTTCATGAATTCAATCAAATCTCGTCATGCTTTCCTTATTATCTTGTTCCTGTCCCGAAGAGAAAGGTTCCAGTCAAGGAGCCACATTGTACCATGAAGGTCCGGCTAGAGGTGGGATATTACGTCCGTGGAAACTACTCCAATATTGGGCTTCAAAAGATGAATTGAAATTCTGTAGATACATTCTTGGAAAAGAAAGTTCAAACGAGAACTCTTTCAAATTCTTCCCAAGATTGGCACCTAGTTCTTGCAGTTTTTGATCTTGTTCTTCCTGATCTCATTTTGTGCTCACATTACAGAAATCTTGCGGGACGGAGGTGACATTTCGTCACCAAATCCACCGAAAACATCTCTCGACTTCTCAATCACGTTAAGCATACCTGAGTCCTTGCTTGCTGCGGTGCGGACTTCGCAGAAATACAAACATCATCAATTTCATTTCCGTAGTTCAGGTAAATCTAAAGTCCAAATGAATGAATATGACAGACTTGACGCCTCACCATGGTTCTCGTAAAAATAATCACTGGACAGACTCCTCGTGCCTTCGAAGGCACTTCAGGGTGAGATAATTTGGCTAGTGATGGGAAGTTTTCCCATCAACCTTCGTTGAACTCCCTCCTTTGCTCCAGCCTTGGCACATATTTCAAATGGACTACGATTTGAAGGCAAAGAAACAAAAAAAAAAAAAAAAAAAAAAAAAAAAACGTGGAGATCGAAAGTGAACGAGGAGCTGCTAAAACTATCGATTTCACTTTGCTCAGAGAGCAAACTGTAAGACCAGCCATCGGAGTTCCAGAAATCTGCTATCAGGAGAACTGCACAGATACCACAACTCTTGCTGTCTCGTGCCTCAGCCTCACATAATGAACCAGAATAACTAAACCAATATTCGAGGTAGCTTTCCTCACAAAGACCAGAGATTAGGTTTGTTTCTTATTTTCTCCCCTTTTCACTTCTCTCCAACATGACAAGGTGGTAGTTTTCTTACCAATGTAGCTTGACTTCAAATGTAAACCACATCCCATGTTCAATTTATAAACCTTTCTACCCAAGCTCAACTTTCTTCTTCTTCAAAGGAATCATGGTTACAAATGTTTTGTTTGAAGGAAGTTACAAAGGAATTACACAATGATCAAATGTCATGATTTCTTCAACATGTTTTTGTTCATAGTATTGTACTCAAAACACATGGAAATAAGACTTAAATATTTAAGTGACATACAAAATAGAGCCCCTCAATTTGTAAATTACAAACTTCTAGTCAAATTAGACATCTACTCAATTCATTAGTTTTTGTTAAACTAGCACAAAGAAAGTATTTTGAAGTATTTTTTGCTTATGGAAGTGCAAAAATTCTCTTATCTTTCATTACTAATAGACAGTTCCATATGACCAATTATCAATAAACTAGTAGAAGAGTGGAGAAGATTGCATTTCAAAATATGGATTAACCATAATCCTAGTATAACAAACCAAGATAAAATTCTTCACCATTAGAGTGTGATATTTAAAATATAGTCATACCAAAAAACAAGCTAGTTTGTCAAAACATTTCTTTGATCGTCTCTATTGAAATATCTTTTGTAGATGGATGTCTATTCCAACTAGAGAACTCATTTGTTATTGTTGTTATTACATTATTATTGTAACAATATATATATATATATATATATATTTAAAGATTACACATAGATTTATGAATATAATTTATAAGAGAGTAAAAGTTGGATGGATCTACTTATATTATTGGAACTAATAAATTAAATAGTATATTGATTAAAAAATATAATTCATTCATTCATTATATTTTTCAAAGATAATTAAAAAACACTCAAATAGTCAAACTAAGTATTAAAAATATATTAAAGAATATAAATATTTTTAAAAATATATTAGATAATTTAAATATATAGCAAAAAAAAGAACATAGAAGATACAAAAATACTTTAATAAGTGCTAAATATTGGAAATTAGAGATTTATATTTAAAATGCTATTTAAAAAATAGAATATTATAAAAAGTATATTTTTATTTTAATCACTTAAATTCTATTTCAAGAATTTTTTTCTTGAAATAAAATAAAATAAAATATTTTATATCTATATATATTCTATTTTTAAAAAAACATGCAATTATATACTACTTATTTATAATAATAGTTATTTGTTATTAAAATATTGATATGAATTGTTTTTATATTATTAAATTATAATAGATAAATAATTAAATATATAAACCTGGATGAGTGACCTGAGTTTATAATACAACATCTGGCTTAAAATGTTAGCATTGGAGTGCTGGAGGGGGTTTCTTCGTGATTAAAGGTACCGAATGTATGTTCGCCCAAGAGACCAAACCTCGTTATCACCGACCACGCTTTGCGATTTCGGGGGGGTGAAACACAATCCAGAATCGTGGGGTTTCATCACAAGCTTCAGTAACGATCGTTTGAACGTCAGGAGATACAGTGAGATACAAAACCCGAATTGTTTGTGTGCCCAGTTGAGGTGGTGAATGTAGACATCGTTGGATACCTCCAGACAATGATCTGGTTCTGGGAATACCCAAGCGTGCTCCCGATCTCATTTACATTTTTTAGACCATACCCAATGGCACACTGGAATTCCAGATGCTAACAACCATGGTTGCGTGAATTGATGTTTCCAGTTTAAGAGCAGGTTATCGTTTCCACCGGACGCAAGCTCGCGATCGTCACATGACCACTTTAATCCGCATACTTCAGACTTGTGCCCCCACTACTTTGCTTACAATGTCGTCTGAGACTGTTTGAAATCCAGCTGCTGGAGATATGTTTCGGTCTCGGCTGCCCGGATGAGTCGAAGATACAACCCCAAATGCAAAAACGAATATGCAAATAAAGTTTATATCTCAGATTATTCCTAGATTATAAACTTATAACCTAACTTTTAACCTAAACTTATTACCTAACATAATTAATAAAATATATGATATAAATTTATAAATTAAGTGAAAAAAATTGACAACCATATAAATTTTTAGCACACGTTCTTACCAACTATGCCACATGAATCAAAATCCAAATCATAAATTATAAATTAATTAATTAAAACACATACACATGTGGACAAATTGTTATAAAGAAGTCACTAATCCAAAATTGTGATGCATCATATTTCACCGTTGAGATCATTTGAGTGCTACATTGATAATCTTTGATATGTCAATAGTTAGTATCTATATTTAGCTACTCAACAAAGTAATCTTAATGAACTAATAGTGATTAGGATTTCAAGAATTCTAAAATAAAAGAAGAGGATTGTTTCAAGAATTGACTTTTGAATAAAGATTAATTAGATTTAACATTGAAAAAAATAGTTTTAATTTAGTTTGGACTCTAAGGAAGACAAAATAATATTGTGATGTTAGTTTATATGAAAGAATTAGCCACCTTGAGATTAGGCCATTTTTTTATTTGATATAAATTTATTTTTATTAGTTATACTTGGATCCACAAATGATACATAAAATCAATTAAAAAGTCTCAATAATTTTAAGTTATGCATATATTATTTGGAATAAATTAAAGTTATATATATATATATATATATATATATATATAGATTATAAATCTTTTAAAATGACTTAAAGATACAAGAATTGCCACCTAACAATTACAAATTTTCTAAATTTTATTATTTTTAATTTATATTTATTAAAATTAATTAATCTCTCATACTTTATAAACTTAATAAAAATATAAGATTATGATAATACCATTTAGAAAAGTGCATGAGAAATGACTAATTAAAATAATCTTAATTGAAAAAAGATATACTTAGGAGAAGCAAATATATTTTGTATACAATTAGACTTTATAGTTGTTGAATAAAATATTTAAAGATAATAAAAAATAAAAAATAAAAAATTTATATATAATAGTGAATATTATAAGCTAATTCTTATATCTCAACAATTAACCTTGGCTCAACCTTAATTTAAAATCTTGTCATAATATTTCCTATTATCCCTTTGAATCATTGTCTGATTTGATATGTAAATCTTTAGATATCTAAGAAATTTTGACTAACCTTGAATCATCCAATTCTAATTGAATTTTGACTAACCTTGAATCATATCTCTTTGTACATGCAATTAACTATCTTCTAATTTTATCATCAAAAGAATAAAAATTAAATATATATATATATATATTATATCCAAATAATTATACATATTTATAGTTAAAGCAAGCACAAATTAATAGAGATGAAATCCAATTATACACTAATATTTATTGCCTCTAAAATTTTATTGATTGAAAAATCTTAACTTTGATTGATTTGTGAAAGGTCTTTCTTAGGTTATAATCTTGCATTCCATGATAACGCATGACATAAATCATTTAATGTGCTTAAATTTATATATTTTAATAATAATATGCAAAGGCACAATAATTTGTTTGCATATACAGCCAATATTGGTCCACTAATAAATAGCCAATTGAAATTTCTAAAATAATATATTTTTAAGATCTCTAAAAATAAATAAATAAATAAATAAATATATATATATATATATATATTTGCAAATTCTAATTACATAAACCTCTGACTTTTGCATGCACACTTAGAATAAAAATTTAAAATATGTCCTACATAGTTTTCATCACATCCCTGATGGCAACTTGGAAATATTGCAAAACCTTTTTGGACCACATC